ATATATATATATATATATCGATACTGTACCTATAAGTCGGAGTTAGGGTTCGCTGGACCAGCACTGATAGGATTGTTTTGCGGCAACAGGCTCTGACCACCTTCGCGTGCCCCGTTGTGTGGTCTTTGTTTGTTCCATTACAGGTCAAAGCAATGACCACGATTTGTTTATCCGTAGAACGCATGCATTGTCCGTGGGGGCAAATTTGAGAGATAGAGAAACATAAATGCTAGGACCGTAGCTTCTGGGGGGAGGGAGCAACGAGAAACTGCCCCACCAACCCACCTAGATCCGATCTCAGAATTTCACTTTGACCGCAGCATTCCGCCATTCCCGCCGCTATGTAAAATTAACGCGAACTGTGCGAAATGTACGATGACGACTTATGCGTGTTTCACTGTATATATATATTATATATATATATATATATATATATATATATATATATATATATATATATATATACTATATATACATATATATCAGTGATTAATAATGACAAAAATTTGTCATTATTAACCCCTGATATATATATACATAATATATCATACATATATAAATACATAAATAAAGCCAGAATAGACTATATATAATATATATAAAATTTACTTATGTAGACGCATATAAAATATCGTCTATATTATACACTCCTGGGGATATCGGGAGTGTAATATTAGAGTCTATATTACGGTTTATTATATAGCTATGCGCACTTTATAATTATTTTTCACGCGAGATGGCGCCAAAGAGTCGTATTTTAACAAAACCATATATATCATATAACAACATAGCATATATATATATTATATTATATATATAATAATATCATAATAGTTGTTATATGATATCAGGAGTAGATAATAGGGAATTCCCTATTATCTACTCCTGATGATATCTATGAACAAAACATTTTCAAGTGTCATTGGATGGTGGCGCCGCCACTGAAAGAGCGGTCACCAATGTAGACTGGTACCCGGTCCCACTTCTCGGCTTAGGGTTAGGGTTAGGGTTAGGGTTAGGGTTAGGGGTTAGGGTAATCGAGGTGGGAGCGAGTACCAGTCTATCAGCAATGGCGATCGAGAGGTCCTCTGGTGGTGACATCTGAAACTACAAATGTAAACCAACCGTAAAGTTCCCTTGACCTTTGAAAGATGGCGAGTTTGCGAACGAACGCGAAATTTGATTACTGTTAGCGCGATTGTTGTTAATTTACCCCATTTCAGGTGATCAGACCATAATAACATCGCACTTATGGACGACATCAGCGATGTTAGCATTGCTAGATTCAACGATTCGCCTTATTTGCGGCCATTTCGCATGCAGTTTAAACAGGTGAGAATGTCAATATCAGTGTCAATGACAATGTGAATGTTATCAATCAATGTCACAATGAGTTTATGGCATTTTATTTCTAATCCGAATGTCCAGAGAGACATGATACAAGATTGCGTGGCACAGCTTTGCTGTTGATCCTAAGCGCTGCGCGCGGATGAGACGCGCAGTTCCGCGGGATATGCGCACGCGACCGCGAGGATGTTGAAGTATGAAGCGCTGTCCGCAGTGGAGACGTGCGCCAAATTCGAGGCCCGGCGCACGTCTCCACAGCGGTCAGTGGATGGCCTGTAGTTTTAGAAGATGACAATGATTATATATGG